CGTAGCATGAAAGAATCACTTAAAAGTATGATGCTACAAATAATTTCATTGTTTCATTAAATACCAGTGGCCAGTTGATGTTAGTAGTGCTTATACAGTATCTGCGAATATGTCGGAAACAACATATAAAGAAGTAACTCATCTTTAAAATAACATTGCTAGCATACCTACACGTCTTCTAAATACGAAATCATCACAAGATAAACAAAAATTGGAAGGGGAAGTCCCCAAGCAAATGAAATAATCATGACGACAACGCATCTATTAACTCTGTAAAAAGTACTTAAGTCAGCCGTAAAAACCGTTTAGTAGTTAAATACAAGGCAACAAAAGAGAATATGACGTTTTGGCATAAATTAGAATATCCGTTACTGCAGAAATAACTCACGGGAATACGATGAGGGTACTTCCTTTTTATCTTGGCAGAATCAGCCAGGCGGATGTCTAAAAACAGAGAGTATAAATAATAACCGAACAGGAAGCCAACCGAAACTATTTTCCTCCTTATACTTGAACTTCATAACGAGAGACGAACAAAAGGAAATCCGGAAGATTAAATGAGCCGCCTTCTCAATCTATACAGTAAAACAAACTTATATTTCAATCAGATGATTAACCAATTCAGGAACGGTTATAAAAGGCATTTGCGACTCTCAGCGTCCTGCGAAAGAAGTAATCGGTTTTAATGATAAAAAATAACATCAAAACTAAGGTGATAATTTAGGCCTGCCGCTTCGCAGCCCCATAAGAAAACTTGAGCTTCAGGTGCGTAGTTTAACTCACCATTTCGCTGTTAGGTTGGGCTATGGCCAATTGTTTGCTTCCCTTCCTGAAGAAAACTTACAGAAAATCCGCCAACAGGAAAACTTTGTCCTTTGTGGGAAGATGACAAATCCGGTTGGTCTTATGTCCCTCTAGTCCGAATGTTGGTGATATCAGCAAGATAATCGTCTTAACATTGATACACCAAAGGACTGCTTTTGAAAGTATGTTCAGTAACAGCCATCAGTGTCGGTGCCAGACTTGTTCGTAAAAGAAACGCTAGGAGATTTGTTTCGAACAACTGAAATACATAATTTCAATTTGGTGATCCGTGCTTGTATACATGGTTCAAGTCTAATCTATCGAATATATATCAAGTATTTGCAGAGGCTCGAACAAAGACTGCAGAACATCGGGGTGTATCTAATGCATATTAATGTAAATATATTCACATTTTATTGTTCGGCAGCGAAGAGGTTGAAATTAGTTTATTCGAGGGCCGGATACAGCTAAATAATATGCACCTGATGACAGCCAAGCTGAAATAATCAACTGGTAATTCAGGCGAATGTGCGCATTGCAGGTGTATGTATAAGTAAAGCAGAAGACTGTTCACTCGCCGGAAGCATGTCTTTAGTAATCTGAGATTTGAGTTGTTACTAGAATCCATTGTCAGAATCCATTGAATCCATTGTCAATGAAACGAAGAACAGTTAAAAAGGAATAGGGGTCAGAAACACCAGCCATAGATGACTACCTGCACCTTAAAAATAACCAGGTCAAGCACGCCAAATATTAGTCTCAATTAACTATCTACGGCAAGTCCTCGGTACTTTAGCCGCTCCACTGGGATAACTGTTTGTACGAGTTTCGGGGGTTGGTATTTTTCGATATGATCATCCTGTTTTGCTTTTTGCTCTCTAGCACAAAGTTGAGAGCCTACG